ACGTACGGGCACGTGAAAATTATGGCGGGAAAATTCATAATTCGCGAATGAAAAAAGCTAGAAAGTCGAAACTTTGAGGGAATATTCCGCCCATGCGCGACTAAAAGCTTTCAAATTCAGCTGCCCAGGATTGCCCGGGGCTCGCGTACGGGCATGTGGGAATTTTGGCGCGGAAATTACCAACCCGGGAAAGGAAAAAGCTAGAAAGCTGAAACTTTGTGGGAATGCTCCCTACTCATGTACGAGAGAATCAGGTGTTTAGAAGCGCCCTAGCCCACGTACGAGCGCATGGAAATTTTGGCACGGAAATCACTAACCCAGGAAGGAAAAAAGCTAGAAAGCTGAAACTTTAGGGTTATGTCCCCTATCTATATATGAGCAAAAAATTTTAGATTCAGCTCCTTAAAACCGTCTGGTACTCATTCACAGACACTTGAAAATTCTGATGGGAAAACTGCTAACTCGGGGACAGGAAAAGCTGGAGGCTTTAATTTTAAGGGTATGTTTCCCGCTCATGTGCGACTAAAAAATTTTGAATTTAACTCTTCTAGCGTGGCCTTTTTTTGCAGACCAGCAACTTTCCATTTGTCGGATCACTGAAGTCGACACCTACAACTGGCATACCACATAGTTGCATAATTAACTTCCCGAACTTCGAGGGCCAGTAGTTCACAAGGTTAGCTACATCGACTCCTTGCGATCTTGCTACAGTAAGAAAAGTGCAAAAACGCATAATCGCACCGGCCCGCCTGGTACGTTCCAGCCTGGGTTGAAATCGCAGTCGCAATATCTTCGAAAAGTAATAAAGGGCTAAGCCGCTTTAGGAACAGATCTTTCGATATTAACTACAGTACACTGATCAGTACATTCGATATTAGCAAGCGATACCACATCTCTTGTAGATATGCGAAAACTGTTTAAAAAGCACCCGTTTCTTTCTTCTCCGCCAATAAATAGTCATCTCGGGATATGTTCTAAGAACTCATTCTCAACCAAAAAGGGCGGGACTAAATCTCAGTCCGGTAAACAGCTGCAGATCGAGCGGAGAGAAAAGGATTTCGCGCTTCGCAAAATAGTGAGAATGGGAAATTCTACGTTGGTGGTTCAAGTGCGACTTAAAAAAATTTATTAAACTGGAAGATCCGCATCTTCACACGTATGAGGTGCGAAGTGGCGTCGTAACACTTGCGCTGCTATCACACCGTTATTTTTGCTTTTGATAATTCGAGCAAAGTTTGAGAAATTTTAAACAACTTCATAAAATTGAGAAGAACTTTTCTGGTTAAATCCTGAAAAAAAATTCAATAAAAATAGATTAATGAACATAAATTTGGGACCTTAACACGTTTATTAATGATGAACATACCCTCTTATGCCATTGCATATTGTCACTAGGGCGCGTTTTCCCACAAGAATACATTCGAATTTCGCTCTTGAAGCACTTGAATATTCTGTTTCATTTCGCATGCTTATATTGAACAGTACCAGTCTTCTCAAACCGATCATTCGTTGCACTAGATTTGAAGCACTCACTTCGTTACCTTTATGAACCGTTGTTGTGTTACGTTTAACTTATGCGCTTACTGCCATAAATAACCGCAAATTTTGCATAAAGGAAAATGAGCAATTTTCATCGAACAGTCATTCTTTGAAAATGACCTAGCTTTCAGTGAGCGTTTTTCCGCCAAAACTTACACTTGTCCATAAATGAGTACCACGCATACCTGGGGCTAAATATGAAATCTTTACGTTGCACATGAACAAGAAATACCCCGTTAAACTTCTGCTGCCTGCGCAAACAATTCTCTCGCCACAACATTCACTCGTTTCTATGCTGGACCCAGACATTCGTGAAGGTTGGTACTACGTTTCTAAAATTGCGCTTGGATAAAGGACCCACCGAAAAATTTCAGAGTCGAAGCTTGCTTGATTGTCGAGTTGAAATACCCGGAAAGCACGCACATACATACACACACACACACACACATACTTGCAGAGGCAAACCAAGGGACGCTACAACATGAGTTTTGCACTTGCGTATATACAACCCAGGCTGAAACGCATCAGGCTGGCCGGTACTATCATACATTTTTGCACTATTTCGTGCTGTAGCAAGATTGCAAGGAAGTACAGTGGCTAGAATTTGTAATATATTGGCCTTCGAAGTTCAGGAACCTAATTGTGCAGCTGTGGAGTATGTCAGATCTAGATGTCGACTTCAATGATCCGACAAATGAAAAGTTGCTGGTGCGCGAAAGAAACTTCACTAGAAGAGCTGAGTTTGAAATCTTTTGATCGTACACGAGTAGGGGACATTTTTCTAAAGTTCCAGCTTTCTAGCTTTTCTCCTCCCCGAGTTAGCGACTTTCCCGCCAAAACCTTGACATGTCCCAACGTGAGTCCCAGGCGGTTCTAACTGACTTTGAAGACTTTCGATTGTACAGGAGCAGGGAGCATTCCCTTAAAATTCCAGCCCTCCAGCTTTTCTCGTTCCCGAATTAGCGATTTTCCCGCCAAAACTTTCACTTGCCTGCTCGTAAGGCGCAGACATGTGTGACATTTAATATCTCTTGGGTCCGCATTTGGCTAGGGAACACACTGGCAAAATTTCAGCTTCAAATCTTGCGTAGTCGCTAAGTACAAATACCCAGACTGACGAACGCGCGTGCACACAAATGCACACACACACACACACATATATATATACATATATATATGTGTGTGTATATATATATATGTATATATACATATATATATATACACATACACACAGGCAGGGACGTCGTAATATGCGTTTTTGCCGCCTGTGCAGTGCTCTGGAGTTGCACGGCAAAAACGCATAAAAACGATTGTTTCTCTGCGATTTTCGCTACTGTATTCCTCTGTCTTGCAGTGTGCTTGTTCAGCCAGGCTGAAGAATCAAACCCATGATGACATGGCCAATTGCACTGGTGGCCACCTATCATTTCCAGACGATGAGATTTGATAAGATTTTACCATTTGCGATAAAAGACTGAGACATCGGGAAACCTGCATCGGCAAAAACCGTACAAATTTAAATTCTGCACTGTAAGGGTGATCAAATAAAATGCAGCTTTCTTCTGCAGATCCTAAAGGCCGGAAAAATGTATTTGGCAAGACTGCTGAAATCGCTCGGGTACCACTGTGAATATTTCTTCTTAGTGATATTACTTCCGGGTTAGGCTGTCATTAGTACCCACTGCGTATTTGATGTATACGTCCTTAAGATAAAAGTGCCTGCAGGCTAAAGTTTAACCAAGCTCCACAGTGTTTCAACTAACACCCATCTTCTAAATGTGGAGCTCGAAAAATGCATTCAAAAAAGCGTACGCACAACTGTAGTTCAGTATTGCCACACTCTCTGCGTGAATTAGCGCAGAAAAAGGCCTCATTACTGTTCACAAGGAACAGAATTCATTTTTGTGCATTTTTGCATATTATGTAAATGCAGTAAATAGCGGCGCCCGCCAGGGTAGCCGATGCGTCATGCGTTTTGCGCAGTCCCGTTCAGCGTACATTTGCATGCTAAGAATTTGCACTACTTTGCGCTTTGGTCTGTGCAAAAATAGTTTAAATGCTGTCTGGTTCCTGAATTGCGAAATTCCTCACTAAAGTCTTGTGCGGAGAACATCCCTCCAAAACCACCCACCTAATTTTCTGACTTTTGAGTGATTTTTGTGCATGGGTCCTCGGCTTCCCTAGGAACTAAATTTGAGTGTGTGGTCCCGGGCAGAAAACATTCTCTTGAAATTTTCAGTCACTTACTACTTCCGGCTTCCGTATAATGATTTTTCCCGCTAAATCATTTGCGAGGATGTTGGGACCTAGGCGTGCGTGAAAGTCAAATTTGAATTTGCAAGGTCGTACATGGGCAGGGGACAATACCCTAAAATTTTAGCTTCTCAGTTTCTGTAGCTCCCAAGGTAATTTCCCCCGCCAAAAACTTCAGAGGGTCGTACCGCGGTACCCAGACTTAAAGGAAAGCCGAATTTAATGTTGCGAGTTGTACATGGGCAGGGGAAATCAACCTAAAATTTTAGTCCCCCGGCTTTCGTGCTCCGTGAAATGGTATTTTTACCCGCCAATACTTCCACGGGGCCGCACGTGATACTCAGCGCACGAAAAGGCTAAATTTAAATCTCGCGACGTTCTACATAGGCTGTAAACATTACCATAAGATCCTAGCTTCCTAATTTTTATGGTTTCCGAGACACTAATTTTCCCCATCAAAATTTTCACGAGACCGTCTGTGACACACGAGTGCGCGATGAAGCTGAATTGAAATTTGCGAGTGGTTGTGAGTGGGCATGGGATATTGTTGCAAAATCTCAGCTTCCTAGCTTTCACAGTTTCCAAAATAATAATTCCCCCGCCAAAACTTTCACGATACCATGC